AAATTATAGTGGCTCGGGCCAGGCATGGTGTCTTATGCCTGTAATCTCAGCACTTTGAGAGGCTGAGGTGGGCAGATCACTTGAGGCCAGGAATTCGAGACCAGTCTGGCCAACATGGCAGAACCCTGTCTCTACTAAAAATACAAAAACTAGCTGGGCATGATGATGCACGCTTGTAATCCCAGCTACTTGGGAGGCTGAGGCACAAGAATTGAACCTGGGAGGCAGAGGTTGCAGTGAGCGGAGATGATTCCACTATACTCAAGCCTGGGCGACAGAGCAAGACTCTGTTTTAACAAAAACAAAAAGAAATTACAGTGGCTGAACTGTAAATTTCTTGGTGGATATTGTGGGAAATGAGAAGAAAATGGTAGTTTAGGCAACATATGGAAGGCTTTGAATATCTCGAGTGTTTTTTTGTTTTTTGTTTTTTTAAATATCCAAAGCCAGTGGTGTAGTTTTACCTGCATAAACAACTCAACAGAAAGATTTCAATTAATCTAGAATTGAGTGGGAATAGGTATTTTGTATTATTTTTCCTAATTGAATTGAACCTAAAATTTTGGCTAAGAATTCCAGGTAGAAATGGACTAATTATGTTTCATAATTCAACAGGTGTTTGCAGTCAGAAAGGTAAATCAAGATGCTGTAGGTTTACGTGAGGAAGATAGTAGATGGTGTCTCCCTTGGGGTGATCTGTGAAGAGGAAAAAGAATAAAGCAACCAGAGATTGTGGCCTTTGGGTTTCTGCCTGCTGAGAAATGACAAATAGAATCCCAGCCAGCTGGAAGCTCTGATTCACAGACACAGGAGAGGTCATGTGAGATATAAAGTCAGACAGAAAGGGCTACATGTATAGTTGCTAAATTTTATTTTAAAACTTGTTAATCTTGATATTGGGGGATAGAACTGGACTTCGGTGGAATCTGCTAGAAAGCATTCTAAAACAAATCACATCTGTTCCTGTGAATAAGCTGTCCATCCACCCATTCACTTAAAATAGTTATTGAGCTCCTACTATGTGCTAGTTATGAGATAAACAAAAGCAGACAGCCCCTGACCTCATGGAGCTTACAGTCAAATGAAGTGCCCAAGGACTTGCTATACAGTGGGAATGTGAGCAGAGTGTGAGGTGCAGAGAAGAGGTGGTCAATGGCCAGACCATACAGGCCCTTGGAGGCCGGGGAAAATATTTTATTTTTAATATTAGAGGAAAGGAGGACCCACTGACTACTTAAAAATTTTTTTCTTTTCATTGTATTTTGAAATGGAGTCTCGCTCTGCTGCTCAGGCTGGACTGCAGTGGTGCGATCTCAGCTCACTGCAACCTCCACCTCCTGGGTTCAAGTGATTCTCCTGCCACAACCTCCCAAGTAGCTGGGACTATAGGCTTATGCTAGCATGCCCTGCTAATTGTATTTTTTTTTTAGTAAAGGGAGGGTTTACTACGTTGGCCAGGCTGGTTTCGAACTCGTGACCTCAAGTGATCTGCCTCCCTTGGCCTCCCACATTGAAAACTTTTAAGTAGGGAAATTATATGATCAGGCAGACTAGTTTCTAGGTTTTTTGTTTGTTTGTTTGTTCGTTTGTTTTCCTCCTGCATCTTCATGGGATTTTTTTGGATGCCCGGTTTCTCCCTGCTGACCATGTAGATGCAATTTTCTAATGACCTCAGAAAATTGACTAGGGTGTGAAACCTGTTGTGTTGATGAACTGCAGAAATGGAAAAGGATGAAGAGACCACATTTTTCAGTTGAGTTCGGACCCTCACCACCTTCCACTGGATCGCACCGTAGTTTCATTAGTTGGCCGGGGTCTGATGCTTGTCTTTCCTGCCAGACAAATTTTCTCAAACAATTGCTCATGGCATGGTCCTATCCAGAACTTTCACCAGGGCCCTAGGGCCACAGTGCCAGACCACCTTACCGGAGCAACTCAGGTCATCCATGGAATGGTTCCTATTGGTCTTCTATATGTTATTGGCCATAAAGTTTGCAAAACATCACTTCTTAAACTCATTCAATGGATTGTCAGTTTAATGAGATGTTTACAGTTTCCCCATTAAAAAAAAATTGACTTGAGTTTTGATAGCTTACCCCTGTAATCCCAGCACTTTGGGATGGCCAAGGCAGGTGGATCACATAAGTCAGGGGTTTGAGACCAGCTTGGCCAACATGGTGAAACCTTTTGTTCTTTCTAAAAAATATATAAAAAATTAGGTGGACATGGTGGTGCGTGCCTGTTAGTTCCCAACTACTCAGGAGACTGAAGCACAAGAATCACTTGAAACCTGGGAGGAGGAGGTTACAGTGAGCCAAGATCATTGCCACTGCACTCCAGCCTGGGCGACCAGAACGAGACTCCATCTCCAAAAAAAAAAAAAAAAAAAAAGAAGCAGGGAGTCTATTAGTCAGAATATATCAGGAAAACAAACCCGAAGTATAATATCCTCACTCTTCATGAGGCACTTAATGTACTTAGCCTCACTAAAGGCTCCAAGAAGTCCTGCAAAAATGTGATTAACTCAACACTTCCCAAGCATGATCAGTGTTAAACCCTTTTCTGCACCTAATCATGGTTACTTGGTTGAACAGTTTAGAAAACACTGCCCCAGTTCCCAGTTTAACCTCTTTGAACTTCTCTTGCTATGGCTCTGTTTATGCTGTTTCTCCCTTTTGAATGCCCAGTTTGGATGGCCTTTTGGATTCTCCCTTTGGGAAAAATCATCATCATCCCTGCTATCTTTCCAAGCTCATCCAACTGAGATGTCACCTCCTTTATGAAGCCCACTCTGATGATTCTAACTCAGATTGACATAGTTTTTCCTCTAACTCTTGAGGCACTTTTTTAGCTGGGCTATTTGGTGTTCGTTTACTACTACTTTATATTGTTCCTTTCACCATTTATGTTTATAATGGCATTCTTTTCATCTTTACTATGCGAAAACCAGCTTTAAAGTTTCTTGAAGGGATTGATGGTTGTAATTTTCAGGTTGGAAGGCAAAATCATGAAGAAATATGAGCTTTGGATCAAGACGGTTATTTCAGTCACATTTTGGTTAACCAGCTGCATGACTTTGGGCAAATTACCCAACTTCACTAAGCTTTAGCTTTCTTTTATCTGTAAAATGGGGACAATGAACTCTCCACCTCTTAGAGGTGTTGTGAAGAGTAAATGAGACTATGTACAGTGTCTGACACATTGTAAGCAATCCATACATGTCAGATGCTGTCATTATTGTTATTATCACATCAGTGACTAAGACTGTTACGAAAAAGGTCCCTTTTTTTGTTATAGTGACTGTACATGCCCAATATTCTGGGCAATCAAAATTCCTCAATATTCTGAATATTTTGGCATCCAAAGAGGCTCCCTCACTCTTTGCAAAGGCAGAGAGAGGTATGTTAGATATATTCATTGTCTAGCAAAGAATGGTCTTCATCCCAGAGACAGAGAGCCTGTTGCTGTGACTGCCACATTCACTGGATATTCTCGTCCATCCAGACTGTAATAGTGAATTTCACGTGCAAACACATAGTCCAGAGCATTCTGACTTCTGGTTCAATATAAGTGCTGTGTCTTTTTTTTTTTTTCTGGCAACAGAGTCTCACTCTGGAGTGCAATGGTGTGATCCTGGCTCACTGCAACCTCCACCTCCTGGGTTCAAGCGATTCTCCTGTCTTAGCCTCCCGAGTTTCTGGAATTACAGGCATGCACCACCATGGCCAGCTAATTTTTAAAAATCGTTTTAATTTTTTTAGTAGAGATAGGGTTTTACCATGTTGTCCAGGCTGGTCTTGAACTCCTGGCCTTAAGTGATCTGCCTGCCTCAGCCTCCCAAAGTGCTGGAATTACCGGCATGAGTCACCACACCTGGCCAAGTGCTGTGTCTTGCATGAAGACGTACTTGGTCCCTCCCTGTGGCTGGCTTGTCCACCTGGTATACCTGACCTGGACATCAGGGGACTTGTAGGTGTAAGTCAGTGACTGGGCAGATTCAGCCCTTTAGTTGATTTAGGTTAAATTTCGCTTGAATCCACGTGATTGTTTACAATAAAATAGTTCAGCAAAATAAAATGTCAGAGTCCTTTTATATTTTGCATGATAAATATATACAAATCAAGGAAAAAGAACTTCTGTTTATTCACTAAATGTTTATTGAGTGACTACTATTTACTGGGCACAGTTATGTGGCCGTTGTTATACAACAGTGTACAAAACACAGACATCCCTGTTGTAATGGAGCCGAATTCTGATGGGAGAAGAGAGAAATCAAACAAGGGAATGAACTAATATATTACATACCAAAAGGTGGTAAGTGCTGTGAAAAAATTAAAGCAGGACATGGAAGACAGAGAGTTGGGAAGGTCAGGGAAATCCTTTCTGTTACAAAGACATTTGAGCACTGGCGTGAAGGAGAATCTGGGAAGTACGTGGGCTAAGGAAATTCTCAAAAGGTAAAGGATCATGTCACCTGATAGGCAAGAGAAGGAAGCTGAGATAAAGAAAAAGACTGGGTTGAAGCTAGCTAAAAAACATGCCAGATTTTCTGGCCAAGTCAACAAGTCTTTTTGCAAAGGAATTCAAAAGCCATTGGTGGGCTTGAAGGAGAGGCACTACATTTGTGTTTTTGGAAGATTACTCTGGCAGTGCCAGGTGGAGAATGGTTTGAGGAGAGTGAAGTAGATCCAGAGGAAGAGGAAGAGGGAGGAGCTCAGGTGACTGACGGGTGCTGTCATTTCCAGGCTGGCCACGCTGGAAGAGGAGTAGGCTTGCTGAGAAAGACGATCACTTAGGTCAGTTCTGGAAGCACAACATTGGGGCAGTCCGAGAGAGAGTCTCTCCAGTGCAGATGGGAGCAGTCAGTTGAAGTAGAACCTCCCTGGAGAAGTTTTTGTTTGTTTGTTTGTTTGTTTGTTTGTTTTGACAGAGTTTCTTTCTTGTTACCCAGGCTGGCATGCAATGGCACGATCTCAGCTTACTGCAACCTTCGCTTCCGGGGTTCAAGTGATTCTCCTGCCTTCGCCTCCCGAGTAGCTGGGATTACAGGCGTGGGCCACCACGCCCGGGCCCCTGGAGAGGTTTTAAAGCTGGTGGCTTCTGGATGGTGACTGGGGCCATAATGGGAGGGCATGGCATTATCAGGGAACACCTTAGAGTGAGAAAGAAGATGACCGAAAATAGAGACGTAGGAAGGCTGAAGATCTAAGACCTGAAGGAAGAGCCAGAAAGGAGGCCAGAAGACACCCTGGAGCCTGTGAAAACCTGGAGGCTGCCCACTGGATAGCATGATGATCAAGACTACAGGTTCTGGTGTCCAACCCACCTGGCTTTGAATCCTGATTTCCCCACTAAAACTGACATGACTTTCGGTACTAAGCCTTGCAGGGTGATTGGGAGGGATTACATGTACCACGTTTAAAATCTTTAGCACTTTGTCTGGCTTGTAGTAGGTGCTCAGTAAAGTGGTACGTGTGGAAAGGGATATGGAGAGGCGCATGGATGGAAATGGAGATGGAGACAGAGACGGAGGTATTCTCTAAAAATGTTCAACTCGAAGTCCTTGGCAGCATTAACAGAAGGAGTGGCAGCATCTCAGCTAGCATGCCAGACTAGGATCTGCTGTAACTCTACACAGCCCAGAGCCTGTCATGCCCTCGGGTAATGTAATGAAAGGTGTTTTCCTCTCTTCAGAACAGGTGCTCAACTGATACAATTTAGAGTCTCAAATTCCAGAGCTTAATTGTTTGTTCTACATACGAGTTAGCCACGCTCAGAACACCTGTGGACTAAGTTCTTTTGATGCACCAAAGCCTGTCTTTTATTAAGCCCTTTGCGGGCAGTCAAAATAAGACCAAATGTCCATGTGTCGCTGCATAACCATGTGGACATGAAACAAGCCAGCCAGCGTGAGGACTGCACAGTAAGTGCTTAAAATAGCAAGTGAATCCTTAGGCTCTGGAAAATATGGTTACATGATTAATGTAACCAGAGTTAGAGATGAAATAACATTAAATATTTTATATATATAGAAACTTGCCTACACACACATAAAATTCCCTATTAGTTGTACTTGAGGTTTAGTCATGTTGAATCGATAAAAAATGATTTAGAGCGGATGGTTTTCAAAAGCTGGTTGTGCTTTCAGTCTCCCATAAAGAAGTTAAAATTAATTTTAATATGTTGATGGTGCTTATTGATGATAATATTCATAATAAATATCCATCGGAAAAATTCTCCGGCACATCTATGTGACAGAGAGGTCAAGAATGTTAATGACGATCAGGACTACAAAATGCAATCCAGTCAATTACTTTAATTAAATCTAAAACTACTTTATGTCTTCTCATTTATGTAGTAAACTGATAGTGGAGAAAAGGGCACCATCTTTATCTGGCTCATTGTAGAGTCCAAAGATGCGGTCTCAGATTGTGTTTTAACATTTGTAGCTCTGATATCCTTGTGGAATATTTAAAGTAATTATGGGTCTTATGAGTAATGCTCCTGCTTCTATAAGAAGAAGAAAAGGTGGAGATTTCCCTTTGAATGCCGTTTTGTAGAAGCAGAGCTTTCTCTTCACAGACACTAATCTTGTATTTACAGACTGGGTTATATTTGGTAGAGCCAACATTCCAGGGTAAATGGTAGAAACGTCTACATTTCAGTGAATCCTTTTTAATTATATTGTTTGGGATCAGAAGAAAAAGAACACAGCTGTCTGAAGTTCTCCCTACCACAGAGGTTCAAGTGCTTATAACCCAGTCATCACAGCCATGCAAAATGCCTTTTTATTAATTGTGGTGTCATACAAAAGTTGGCATCACCTATGTGTTTAGGTTATTAAACTGGGAGAATAGAAAGGTGAGTATTTTAGAAAATGAATCAATTAATGAATGAGCAATTCATTCAGTTTTTCCATGAATATTAATAGCATGTAGTGACTATTGTGTGTCATGTAATGTTACGGGCATCTGAACACAGCTGTAAACCACACAGACAAAATCCAGTCTGAACCTTAAGGGATTCACATTTTAGCTTGAAGGAAATGAGGAAACAACAAAAAATGCAAACTGAGTTATATCAGATAAGGCAAAAACTATGCCAAAAACCCCCCAAATGAACACCAAAGCAGGATGATGGTAGGTTGACCAGCTTTTCCTAGTTTGCCCAGGGCTGCCCTGGTATTAGCACAGAAAATCTTGTGTCTCAGGTAAGCGCTCAGTCCCAGGCAAACTGGGATGATTGGCCATCTTAGTAATGGGAAAGAGAGCAACTAAATGAGAATTTATTTTGGATGAGTGGTCAGGGAAGGCCTCTCTGGGGAGGTGATACTTGAGTTGGGATAAGAGCAATGCAGGATCCAGAGCAGTGACTCACACCAGTAATCCCAGCACTTTGGGAGGCTGTAGTGGGAAGATCACTTGAGCTCACGAGTTTGAGATCAGCCTGGGCAACTTGGAGAAACCTTGTCTCTACCAAAATAATAATAATAATAATAATAATAATAATAATAATAATCAGGCATGGTTGTTACTGGGGAGGCTAAGGTTGTTAGATCCCCTGAGCCTGGAGAGGTCAAGGCTGCAGTGAGATGTGATAGCACCAAAGTGCTCCAGCCTGGGTGACAGCGTAAAAGCCTGTCTCAAATAAATAAATGGAGCAATACAAAGGAGCTCCCTTCATATACCTGCAGATCCCTCAGGATGAGGTTCATCTCCTGGTGGTCTTCCAAAAGAAGGGATTCATGCTTTGAGAAGAAGAATAAACATTTACGGAAAGTTATCTGTGAGCCAAACAGCGTAAATGTGTTATCTCATTTAATTCCTATAGCCCCACGTGGTAGGTAGGCTTTATTATTTCCATTTTACATGTTAGACATTAAGTGATAAATAATGTCTGAAGTCTTGAGGCTAATAGAAAATGGCAATAAGATCTTTCTCTGCTTGAATTCAAAGCCCACAGGAGGTAGTGTGAAAAGTGAGTTTTTGGGAAGAAAAACCACTTTCTGCTTGGAGAAGAGATGAAAATGGATTTTTCATTTATGGAGCTCAGGCTCTTGCTATACAGCCCATGAAACCTCCTCTAAACAGGACTGGCTTGGACATTAACCTTTAACTACTCTAGATCTGAGACAGCCACGGGGCTAAGCAGCCTAAGATACCTCTTGAACTCAGGACTGCTTGTGGAAATAGAAAAGACTATGATGATGGGAACTGGAGTTTCTGCAAATCACAGGTAAGAGGGAAGGAATATAAATTTTTATCATTACTATGGTCCTACTTTATCTCTGGGTTAGTGTTGCATATGGATGAATGAGAGGCATGTATCTTTGTCTTATAATTTAGCTTTTGGGATGTGTGTGTTCTTTAAATCTTCTTAGAGAAGACCTCATGTATCATGTCTTTGGATTTTCCATTTCAGCTAACACAGATGCTTGCATGTAGAATGAAATTCATAAATATTTGTTGAAATTCAAATATTTGGAGGATCAGCATTGGCATACTGATGAAGTTAAGGTTTTGCTTTTAAAGTGATTTTTATAAGAGAATCTCTGAGGTGACTCACTCCTGGGTTTGATTAACAACCATTTTGGACTTTGAAAAAAAATCCCTTGCCATAGTTACATATATATATAGTTATATATATGTAGTTATATATATAGCTATATATATAGTTATATGTGTGTGTGTGTGTGTGTGTGTATATATATATAAAAAAATAAAAAAATAATACTCTAAAAAACAAAAGCTCACACTCTTGCCCAGGCTGGAGTGCCATGGTGTGATCACAGTGCTCATTGTAACTTTAAACTCCTAGGTTCAGGTGATCCTCCTGGCTTAGCCTCCGAAGTAGCTGGGACTACAGGTGTGCACCACCATACCTGGCTAATTAAAAAAAGTTTTTTGTAAAGATGAAGCTCTCACTTTGTTACCCAGGCTGGTCTCAAACTCCTGGCCTCAAGCACTTGGATTACAGATGTGAACCATTGTGCCTAGTACCATAGTTATATTTTGACCCAACTCATGCTATGATGACAAACTCTGAAGGTATAAGCTTATTTAGCTTAAAATACAAAGACGTGAGAAAGCACTTTCGGAATGATAGAATGAGGACATTTTTAAAAAAACACCACTTCCTCATAAAAGCAATAAGAGCACTGGAAAAATAGCTTAAAGCAACTTTTTCAGAACTCTGAAAATTAATCAAAGGTTTTCAGTAATCTGAAGAGTGTTGATTCAAGAAAGGTAGCTGAATCTTGGTAAGAATAATAAGTGTTGTGATGTTTTAACTTGCCCTAGTCCCATTCCACCTCTCTCCAGTTCTGTAATAACATTGAAAACTAACAGCCTCATAAATATGGTAGCCCTGAAAGTAAGCAGCCTAGCAACTACTGAAGGGGAGAAGTTCCATCTCCAGAAAACTGCCACTGTTTGACATGTTTCACAGTTTGTCTTTGCTATGACTCAGACTTAACTCTGTACAAATAGCCTTTTGCTAAACTGTTTGTTGAAAACAGTCAATGGCAATTATTTAATGTGGCAGCTACCTGAGGTGATATTAACAGACGAGGCTACCAAGAGGCTGAGCAAAACATTTAAAAAGGAAAAACTAAAGAATGGTATGACCATAGAAGGGTTTGAAAAGCTCCAACATATTCCCAGAAATCTGGAATTCCACATGCAAGTTCAGGGCTATGCACCTGCTCCAGAAAAATCTGAGGAGATTCTGAGCGCTCATCTGTGACTGACCTGAAGGTTCTGTGTAAGCAGGAAGTGAAGGCAGAGGCAGAATTCTCAATGACCTGACTAAGCATTGTAGATGCCCTTTCCTCTTCCAGAACTTCTTACCGAAGCCTAGGGGACTCATTGTTTCATGTCATTTAAGAAAATCTCTGGGCTGGGTATGGTGGCTCATGACTACAATCCTACCCTTTGGGAGGCCAAGGCAGGAGGATCACTTGAGCTTAGGATTGTGAGACAAGCCTGGACAACTTGGTGAGATCCTGTGTCTTAAAAAAAAAAAAAAAAATGCTGGATGTGGTGGTATGCCCCTGTGATCCCATCTACTTGGAAGGCTAGGCAGGAGGATCACCTGAGCCCAGGAAGTTGAGGTTGATGTGAACTGTATTTGTACCTTGTCTCAAAAAAAAGAAAAGAAAAGAAAAAGAAAAAAAACCCCTTTGTCTAAGCATTAGCTAAGCACAGAGTTTCTAAACGGAGACTTTAGTGGCTATACATGACAAAGAATAAAAATGTTACAGAATTAGTTTGGAAAAGTCACTGAACAAACAGCAGCAACAACAATAACAAACCTTGAAAGAATCTTCTTTCCAGAGTAGCCACTCTGGAAATTATATATATTTTATATAATTATATATATTTTTTATAATTTTATTTTATATTTATATTTTATATTATATATATGTCCAGTTTTCAATAAATATGTATGAGATACACAAGGAAACAGGAAAAAGTAAAGTAAATAAAAATGGTACTTGAAGAAGTCCAGATGTTGGAATTACTATGCAAAAACTTTAAGTCAGCTACTATGAATAATTTTAAAAAAGGAAAGAAAAACATATTTAGAGAACTAAATGAAAGCATGAAAATAATACTTCACCAAATAGAGAATTTCAATGAATAGATAGAAATTATCAAAAAGAAAAATAGAAATCTAAAATCAAAAAATACAATAATTGAAATAAAAATTTGCTAGAGTTGCCCAACAGCAGATGCTAACCGACAGAAGAAAGAATCAGTGATCCTAAAGATAGTTCAACTGAGATTATCTAGTATCAGGAAGAAAAAGGAAAAAGAAATGAATAAAAATGAATCTATGGGACACTATCTAGTGTACTAAAATATATGCAATAATCACAGAAGAGGAGAGAAGAAAGGTTGAAAGTATATTTGAGAAAATAATGGCTGAAAACTTCCCAAACTTGATAAAAAACGTGAACTTGTACATTTAAAAATTTTAAAAACTCCAAGTAAAATTAACACAAATTGATCCACACCTGGATACATTATAAACTATCAAGACAGAGAAAATCTGGAAAGCAACAGAAGAATCATAGAGTCTTTTAACAATTGACTTCTGATAAAAACCCATGAATATCAAAAGGCTACCGTTTACATATTCAAAACGATGATAGAAAGACTATTCATCAAGACTTCTATATTAAATGAAACTTTTCTCCAAATATAAAGGGTAAATAAAATCATTTCCAGAGTAGGAAAAACTGAGAGATTGCTACTAGCAGACCTGCCCTACAAGAACTACTAAAGAGAGAGTCCTTCAGGCTGAAATGAAAGGACATTAGAGAGTAACTGGTAAATGTACTACATAAGTAAATAAAAAATATAGTACAAATATATTTCGTTTGTAAATCCTTTATTCTTTTATTTAAATACCTACTTCCTAAAGCAAGAATTATAGAACTGTGTCTATGGGCTTACACTGTGTAAAGATACAAGTTAATTGACAAAATTGCACAAAGGAGAGAGAAGAAATGGAGCTATATCAAAACAAAATTTTAGTACTATTGAAATTAAGTTGGTAATAATTTGAACTAGATTGTTCTAAATTGGGATGTTGATCATAATATATGGGGCAACGACTAAGAAAATTTAAAAAATGGTAAAACAAGCAGCAAGGATATTAAAACAATATACTACGCAGTATGTATAAAATAAGGCAATAATGGATGAATAGAGGAATCAAATATGGTATAAGATATATAGAAAACAAATAGCAAAGTGGGAGATATAAACTTGCCTTATTTGTAATTACTTAATAGAAATGGATTAACCACTCCAGTAAAAATACAGAGATTGGTAAAATGGACAAAAAACATAATCCAGCTCTATGCTGTCTACAAGAGACACACTTTAGATTCAAAGACACAAATTCATTGAAAGTTAAGGGATGGAAACAAACTAGGCAAACAGTAACCAAAGGAGAACTGGAGTGGCTTTCTTGAAGATGAAATAGACTTCAAGACAAAAATTGTTACTAAAGACAAAGATAGACATTTTATAATAATAAAAGGGTCAATCCATCTGAAAGACTTTAAAATTAAAACATATATGTACCCAGCCTGACAAGAGAGAAATAAAACTCTCTTTGAAGATGACATTATCTTGTTCACAGAAAATCTCAAGGAATTTATTAAAAATTCATTAGTGCTAATAGTTGAGTTTAGCAAGGTTGCAGAATACAAGATCAATATATCAGTATGTAATAAAATCAATAAATTCTATTTTTATACACTAGCAATGAACAAGTTGAAAATGAAATTAAGACAACAATTCTATTTTAACAGTATCAAAAAGAATAAAATATTTATGAATAAATTTAACAAAGAAGAGCAAAATGTTTACACTAACAACTGCCCAACATTTTTGAAAGAAATTTTAAAAGACCTAAATAATTGGCAAAATATCCCATGTTCATGATTTGGAAGACTTGATATAGTTCAGATGGCAATACTTCCCTAAATGGTCCACAGATTGAAGACATTCCCTTTCAAAATCTTAGTTGTTTCCCCCTCTGCATTAAATAATTAGTTGGTCCTAAAATTTAAATAGAAATTCAAGGGATCGAGAATAGACAAAACAAAAAACCTTGAAAAAGAACAAAATTAGGGGACTAACATTTCTCAACTTGAAAATTTAGGTACAGTAATTAAGATAGTGTGGTTCTGGCATAAGGACAGAAATTTAGATCAATGGAACAAAATGGAAGGTTCAGAAATAACCCTTACATGTTCAGTGAATTAATTTTTGACTGGGGTGGCAAGTCAATGGAGGAAAGAATAATCCCCCAATATGATGCCAGAACAATTAGAAATCCACTTGCAAGAGTAAATTTAGACACTCTATCCTGCATCATGTCCAAAAATTACCTCAAAATGGATCATAGACCTAAGAACGAACCACTGTGCCTGGCCTAATTTGACTTTATTAAGGATAACAAAAAAAACTGCTGTGCTTTAGAACACCACCAAAAAGGTAAAAACAGATTGGCATGTGGTTCATGCCTGTAATCCCAGCACTTAGGTAGGCTGAGGAGGGCTGCTTGCTTGAGCCCAGGAGTTGGAGACCATGGGCAACATGGCGAAACGCCCTCTCTGCAAAAAAAAAAAAAAAAAAAAAAAATACAAAAAATTAGCTAGGCACAGTGGTGTGCACCTGTTGTCCCAGCTACCTGGGAGGCTGAGGTTGAAGGATCACCTGAGGCTGCAGTGAGCTGTGATCACACGATGCATTTCAGCCTGGGTGACAGAGTGAGACCCTAGTTCGAAAAAAAAGAAAGGAAAACACAAGCCAGTGAATGTGACAGAATATTTTCAAGTCGTATATCTAAGAAGAGATTTGTATCAAGCACTTTGTATAAAGTGCTCTTACAACTGAATAACAGGCCAGGTGCGGTGGCTCATGCCTGTAATTCCAGCACCTTGGGAGGCCAAGGTGGGAGGATCACCTGAGTTTGGGAGTTCGAGACCAGCCTGACCATCATGGAAAAAACCTCGCCTCTACAAAAAATACAAAATTAGCCAGGTGTGGTGGTGTGTGGCTGTAATCCCAGCTACTCGGGAGGATGAGGCAGGAGAATAGCTTGAACCCAGGAGGCGGAGGTTGTGGTGAGCTGAGATTGTGCCATTGCACTCCAGCCTGGGCGACAAGAGCTAAACTCCATCTCAAAAAACAAACAAAAAACAAAAAAAAAAACCCTGAATAATAAAAAGACAAATATGTAATTAAAAATGGGCAAAGGATTTGAATAAGCATTTTTTTCTGAAGAAGATATACAGGTGAGCATAAGTACATGAAAAGATGGTCAATATCATTAGTTTCTAGGAAAATGCAAATCAAAACCACAATGAGACTCCTGACACACCCATTAGAATGGCTGAAATTTAAAAAGACAGACAATAACAAGTGTTGGTGAGCATGCAGAGGAATTGGAACCCTCATATATTATTGGTGGAATGGTGAAATGCTACAACCTCTATAGAAAACAGTTTGGTTGTTTCTCAAAATGTTAAAGATAGAATTACCATATGATCTAGTAATTCCATGATTAGTATAAACCCAGAAGAGTTGAAAACATATGTCCACAGAAAAACTTCTTCAAGAATGGTCTTAGCTGCATTACTCATGATAGTCAAAAAGTGGAAGTTGCCCAGATGTTCATCAACTGATGATTTGAAAAACAAAATGCAATATACCCATACAATGGATATTATTTGGTCATAAAAGTGAATGAAGTACAGAATTAATGCATGCTACGACATAGATAAACCTTGAAAACGTTATGCTGGATGAAAGAAGACAGGCACCGAAACCCCTGCATTGTATGATTCCATTTCTGTGAAATGTCTAATGCAAGCAAGTTCATGGAGACAGAAGGTAAATTAGCAGTTGTCAGGAGCAGGGAGAGGGAAGAATAGGGAGTGATTGCTAATGGACATGGGATTTATTTTCGAGGTGTTGAAAATGTTCTGAAATTAGATAGTGGTGATGTTTGTATAACTGTAGATTTACTAAAAACTGCTGAATTGTACACTTTAAGGGGATACATTTTATGATATGCAAATTACATCTCAATGCTGTTATAAAATCTAGTAATATGCTTTGTAGGAAAATGTCTATAAAATAAACATCTTGGTAGATAAGTTTTTATAAGGTAAAAAAACAGAGGCAGGGGTTCATAATACCCACTAATATCTCATTTTCTCGTATCTGTTTTAGATGAGTGTAAGGCCATTTACTGGACTTTTTTCCCAGGTTCAGGTAGGTCTACTCATTTGACTGAATTCTGGCCCATAGGGTAAGAAAAAAATGTCTTGTGAAATTGCTGTGTTGTACCCTTAAAAGAAAATTGCTGGCTCTCTATGTCCTCCTTCCCATTTTAGGCAGGCTGAAGTGTGCACAGGAGGAGTTGAGCCATTGTTTTGTTTTTATTTTTGTTTTTTTGAGACAGGGTCTCACCCTGACTCCCCAGGCTGGCATGCAGTGGCAGCCAGCCACTGCAAAAAACTTCAAAACCACATGGGTTGTTCTATAATCAGGATTAGCTTTCTACTTTAATTCTCTGGGTGCTGTTTGTCTTTCTTTCTGAAACAAATTATTCTTTTACAAAATTTAATAATTTTAAATTATTTTTAATGCTAAAAATATTGCACATGCAATGGTGTGCATTCCCTTCCCAGGCTCAAGCAATCCTCCCACCTCAACCTCCCAAATTGATAGGATTACAGGAATGAGCCAAGGTGCCTGGCTGCCATCTTTGAACTGGTCGTTAAGAGCAACAATGTCAGGAGCTGGGATGCTGGGCCACTTGATGAGTGAGCCTACAGAATCACTCTAATGCCAGAGAGAAATACATTCTCTACCAGATATTGGCCATTGTTATTTTTGCCACTTTAAAAGCAGTCAAACCAATCTTCTCACTTATGGAATAACATCTTTGGTGCCATGATATATATTTTTTAAGATTTATTGTTCCTTCCCATGAATCTATGTTCAGATGGTTCCAAATGAAAAACTCTGAGGGTATCAGGACACATATGACCAGTCCTGATCCTCTGGAAGTTTCAAGTAGGAGTTGTCTGCATAAATAGCTAACAGAAAACACAATTTGAAACACAAGAGCGGAGTTTGAAATGGACTTTTGTGGAAGTGTAGTTCAAGTTGAGGGGAGCAAAGGAGTGCTGGAAGAAGACGTAGAGGAGGAAGGTGACCTCAGCCACCCCCTGGATGGTTAGGTGGAGAACTTCAGTAGGTGGAAGGGTGTAGCCGGGGGGAACAGAAGAGAGGTGAGTATAGTAGACATTAGCCAAGGTCAGAATATAGCAGAGTGACTGAAGGGGAAACTGGTTGGAGATTATGCTGAGCTCTTCAAGTTGACCAGTGCTGTGAATGTTTGGATTGGAGCTCAGGACAGATGTCCAAGTGAGAAATTTAAGTTTGGGAGTCATCTGCAAAAACTCACATGGACCACTGGGTGTGGTGGCTCCACCTGTAATCCCAGCGCTTTGGGAGGCCAAGGCGGATCACGAGGTCAGGAGATCGAGACCATCCTGGCTAACACAGTGAAACCCTGTCTCTACTAAAAACACAAAAAATCAGCCAGGCGTGGTGGCAGGTGCCTGTAGTCCCAGCTACTTGGGAGGCTGAGGCAGGAGAATGGCATGAACCTGGGAGGCGGAGCTTGCAGTGAGCTCCGTCAAAAAAAAAAAAATCACATGGGTTGTTCTGTCATCAGGATTAGCCTTTTCCTTTAATTCCCTGTGTGCTGTTTGTCTTTCTTTCTAAAACAAATTATTCATTTAAAAATTAATTACGGTGACTCATGCCTGTAATCTCAGCACTTTGGGAGGCTGAGGCGGGCAGATCACGAGGTCAAAAGACTGAGACCATCCTGGCCAACGTGATGAAACCCCGTCTATACTAAAAATTAATAATAATAATAATTTTAAATTATTTTTAATGTTAATAATTTTATAAATACGAAAACAGTGGTAAAAATTTCACTTGTATGTGTTAATTACAAAACAACTCTACTTTATCAGGATACAAAAACACTGTAAGGAAATACACATTGGATGGCCGGGTGTGGTGGCTCACACCTATAATCCTAGCACTTTGGGAGGCCGAGGCAGGAGAATTGCTTGAGCCCAGGAGTTCAAGACCAGCCTGGGTAACATAACAAGACTCTATTTCTACAAAAATCCAAAAATCAGTTGGGCATGGTGGCATGTGCCTGTGGTGCCAGTTGCTCCAGAGGCTGAGATGGGAGGATTGCTTGAGCCCGGTGGGGTGGGGTGGGGTGGGGTGGGGGATCAAGGGAGCAGTGAGCCATGCTCATACCAGTGCACTCAGCCTGGGTGACAGAACTGGACCCTGTCTCAAAAAATAATACTTATAAATTGGAAAAGGAAATTATGTTGCCTTTACACACCTGCAAATGTTTTTCTAAGGGGTTAGTCGAAAAATTATACTTTGCTTTTCTCCAGGAGTATTTACTTATAATTATCCCAGTGCCAATTTGGCACCATAATGTGAATACAATACACTACAATATGTTAATACATATAATTTTAAAGGTAAATTAGTTATTATCAAATTGTTTTTATTTTTAAATAATTTTAGAGTTACAGAAAAATTCAAAATAGTACGGAGAAGTCCTATACACTTTTCACCCAGCTTGCCCTTAAGTTAACTTCTTACCCACAGCCATGATTCCAAGAAATTAACTACAATTAAGCATAATACTATTAACTAAACTCCAGACTTTATCAGATTTCACCAGTTTTTCTTCTAATTGTTTTGTGTATGTGTGTGTTCCAGGATCCAGTCACCGATCTAAAATCGCTGGTAGTCTTTAAGTTTTAAAATCCTCCTTAGTCATTTAAAAACGTGGTAGTACAGAACGTCACTCTAGTCCATCTGAAGCAAAGAAGACCGGAAAGGGAACTATGAAGTGCCTGTTCAAGACCAGGATTGGTTATTAATAAAACCCTAGACCTATCAAGTGGATGGTTGTGGGAATCAAACATGAAAGCACTCTGAAAATTATCAAGTACTGCACTCTAGTAAGATCATTTATTCATTCATCAATTTTTCAGAAACGATTTCCTGAGCACCAGTCATATCTTAGGCACTAGGTTAGGCACAGGAACCACACAAAAAAGATGCCAGTTCTTGTTTGCTGGTAATTCTAGCCATGCAAAACTTATCATTAAGTATTTATTGAATGTCTACCACTGGCCCTGTGATACCAATTATTACCTTTCCATTAGAGTGCAATGACTGTTCCATTACAGGCTTGAAAGAGTTAATGTGCTGCAAATGCCTCTGTGCCTGGGGAGTTCTGCACCACCTCTGCCCGGGCTGCAGATGCATTAGGCTCCAAGTATGTATTTTCTTTTCCCTTCTGTTTATGTCTCTGTTTTCTGTGAAGTCTGCTAAACTGCAGCAGTATCTTCCAAGTTCTCTGACAATGTTATAAATTTCATTAAGAAGATGTAGCCTTCTGGGGCAATTAACTCCAAAAGTGGTACAAAGCCATAGCAAGGAGATACTGGCCTGTAGTACTTAGCACTTAGCTCTGAAATTGAGATAAGCCCTATCAACCCGGGGTTGTGTTTAATGTTCACTGCAGCTTCCATACCACAGCTACAACCTAGCGGTCACCGTGTTAACACTCCCCAATATCTATTACAATTAGTTTTTGATTAAGAGGCCTAACATGGCTTTTGAAGCTTTTTATGTTGTGTCAAATGGCTAGTGATGGAGTGAGATGCACAGACACCTCCCGGTAACAAAGCATATTGTAAAAGGTTTCGAGTGAACTATTTTATCATCCTAATGGAAACCAGATGACTCGAACTCCCCCCTTAATTTCAACTATTTACTGAAGAGTCCTTGTTTTGAATTACTGAAAGATTTATCCTTAAATGACTAGCTCATGCATTAAGAATCGCTAATAACAGAGCCATTTGGAATTTGGGAAAGCTTTTAAAGATGACCGAAGCAATGTTCACAGAGGTTTTATTTTATTTTATTTTACTTTATTTTTTGTTTGATTTTTAAAGAGCAAATATCTTTGCTCTTTCCTAGTGTTTAATTATTACTTTAGTTATTTGTTTATGAGGCCTTTCTCAGTTGAGTTATACTGTCTCTGCCAGGGTTTCAGTCAGTAGTCTTGGCCTGTTGTTTAAGAAAGAGGTCACTGGTATTTTGTGAGGAGAGAGAAACTTTGTTTAGTTATGTAAGATGTAATTCTTTGTGAACTGAAAATATATGCTATTTTTGTAAAGGCCATTCGATGAAACAAAGTACAATTATTTAAAAATTCCTTTGTAGATTAAAAAGCTGAAAATCTGAATTATTTAATATTTTATTACACTTAACATGAACTGTCACATGTAAATGTGATGGAAATGGTATAGAAATATGACTTAACTTGTGAGTGTGAATCATAAGAGCTTTTTACGGCCGGGCACACTGGCTCACGCCTGTAATCCCAGCACTTTGGGAGGCCGAGGCGGGCCGATCATGAGGTCAGGAGATCGATACCATCCTGGTTAACATGGTGAAACCCCATCTCTACTAAAAATACAAATAATTAGCCGGGCCTGGTGGTGGGTGCCTGTAGTCCCAGCTACTCAGGAGGCTGAGGCAGGAGAATGTAGCCTGGGAGGTGGAGCTTGCCGTGAGCCGAGATCGTGCCACTGCACTCCAGCCTGGGCAACAGAGTGAGACTCCGTCTCAAAAAACAAAACAAAACAAAACAAAACAAAACAAAACAAAACAAAAACCGAAAAGAGCTTTTTACTAACATACTTTTTAACTGACTGTCTCTGGCCTCATTCATATACTTCCCTTTGAACCTCAGTTTCCTCCTCGGTGATCTGGGGGTTGAATAGACGTGCCCTGAGTTTTTGTTCATCTCTAGATGTTATTGACTCTGTGAGGTCAGATGTGCTGCAGACTGTCAGTGCCTGGAGTGTAAGAGTTTTATCACAGAGATGTGGTGTGATGTATTGGGTTCAAACCCTGGTTCTGCCTGTTATTGACCAGTCATTCATTGGCATAATACCAACTTATTAATGCTCAGAGCCCTTCCATACAAAATAAGGACAACATTAGCTATTTCACAGGTGACGTGAAATAACCTAGGAAGTAAACAAAATCAGATATATAGGGTGCCTTGTAAATGTTAGCCTCTCAATCATTTCTGTTTCCCCCTTTTTGCCTTCACGTTTTGTCCTGTTTAATGGTGCCTTGTGCAGTTTGAATGAATGAAACGACCATGATGTTTGTCATGTACATCCTCATATTACAAACAGTTAGTGAACACTTGCTATGCGCCGATGTTGTGCTAGGTCTGGGGATCCTAAGACTAGGGGCAGAGGCTTGCTCATACAAAGATTGGGTCATAGACGTAGGCAGAGTATTTTAATAGAGCCAGACAGTCAGAGATGAGTAGAGATGGCAGCTCTCAGGGGGGCCACTCCCTCAGTGCAGATTGCAGTTGGGGCTCACTCTTGTACATGATCACATACATCATTTCAGGTAGTCCTCTCAACCACCCTCTCAGCCTAGCAAGGCAGGCGCTATCAATCTCCCCTTTGTAGATTAAAAAGCCAAAGACCTGAATTGTTTGATATTTTATTACTTTTATTAATAAGATCCGTTCGGAATAAAACTTGCTGTCACAGATGTAATTGCAGCAAACACGTGCAAAGATTTAGACGAAGTAAAAAAAAAAAAGCTGTAGCAGATTTACGCATTTATATTTTACTTATCAGAGTCTCTTTTCTAAGCATTATCACTTAGAGGCCCATTCATTTCCTTCATTTATGCATTTGTCCAGCATTAATATGCTGTTTTGCAAGCACAGGGCTAGGTGGTGGGGGTTTGAAGATGAAAGCAGTAGCCTCTGCCTTGAGCAAGGAATTTGCAGTCCTGTGAGGTGATAGGCACTTGCGCCCATGATTATAGTGAGAAGTCGGGGCTGGCCCAGAGGTTGACAGAGGTATTTGAGGGAACACAAGGGAGAGGCCCCCTGGAGGGCTTAGATGAGGCCTTCTGGAAGAGGGGAGGGGACACTTGAACTTAGTTGAACTTTATGGGATTCAAAAGGGACACGCGAAAGTAAAGGTGACATGGAGATATTTGAGGTGAAGAGAGTCTGGGAGACAGGAGAAAGCATGGCTCTCTGGGGCTATTGTCAGTGGTGACAAGGTACCATGTGGTGGGGATGTGACTGTGGAGAAGTGGAGAGGCACCAGGTTATGAGGACATTTGGCCAACAGCCCTCCTTCAGCAAGAAACAAGTTCCCATACACACTTTGTAGTTCACATCTGTTGAAGTCTACCCCATATTTAACTAGTAAGCAAGACTTGTATCTTATTTATTTCCATATCCTCTCGAACCCATCTCATTTGCTGCCTGTGGCTAGTCTGGGTTTATAGTCCACCTTAGCAGTTGGTTAGAGGCTGTTATTAGTATAACCAACCTTAAATAATTTGATTTTCAGGTTGGGTAAGTCACAATATCTCCTGTGGGCTTGATAGTCAAGCTACACATTTATTTAAAAATTGGTTTCTTCACATTATATTTGAAAGCAGTGCTACTCACTCATCTGTAAACCATTAGGCTATGTGTATAAAAGTATCTCATCTGACTTTCATCTACAGAGTTCTAAGGATCCGTTTCAGGTCCTTGCGGATATTCCAGATCTCTATGAAGTCTATTGTCTTATTTTATTAGCTTTCTCTTTAGGACAATCCTATAGTGAACTGTGTATTTAAAGGAGAAGAGAAACCGTAGAATAAATTGTAAAGATACACTCACGCTTTCTTCCTCCTTGGCAAATTTTCAGGTGTCCTTTTTTGTTTATTTATTTGTTTTTAATTTAAACGGGAGATTTAAACTGGTCTGGTGTGGCCTGCAGTAGATAACGTATTGTTTGGCCCATGAGTTATAAATCTAGAGATTTCACACAAAATACAGCTTCTTTAAAAAATCAAAAGATATGATGCTGTGGCTCTTAGGGGCTTTCTGTGGGGCTAAGGCACATTCACTCCCGGGTTCCTCGTGGTCCCTGGGGCACCCACTTCACTCATCAGGATTCCCTGCCACACCCCCAACACATTTGCCTTCGAGTCTACAGCTTGGACTTGACCTTTTCCCATTAAACAACTGGGTGAATGCCAATCAGCGGGTACAAAATGTAACCCTCTTAGCGCAGAAGTTTTAAAACAAGGCATGTACTTAATAACTCAACAAGGAAGCCAATACTTTTAGAGAGGCTTTGCAGGTTAGTGATAAAATACATTTCCTGAGTGATTTTACACATTGCCATGGAAGGAAAACAAAAGAACCAGAAATGTTAGACTAAGTAAAATTTATCAAATCAGTGGTCATCCAGAAAATTTTCCTCCATCATTGCACTTACTTTTTATCATGACAGTCTCAGAACTGTTTTTTGGTGAGAATATGAGAAACATAAAAAAGAAGAAGTAATTTTTTCACTCTCTAACAATCAGAAATCACCACTGGGGTTTTCTTATATTTTGGGGGGGGTTTCCTCTGGCACCCACTTTCCTGAGCTTGGTTGGAAGTGCTAGTTTTTCCCGGTGTTAATTATTAATGTGACCTGTTTATGTACCAGTTATCCGGCTAACCATTAATATCTGTTTACTCATTGATGACCTTTGCAATTGCGTACCTAGCTCCTGGCTGTAAATGTCAACTTTTTGTTTTTATATGCTAAATGTTTTCTCTATATCTACTGAGTACCTGAAACAACTCCTTAACAAGGTAAAATAATATCAAGCAACACAAATATAACCTTTATGAATATGAAAAGGAAGACAACTACTATTTTTTTTGTGAGGCAACAGAACTTTCCTGTTTGGAATGAGCAAGAAATGTACACAAATGGCAAATGCAAAGGATCCCTGAGGGTAAAAGAAAAAAAAAAAATTGGCAAGAAAAAATGTTCTTCTGCTTCTCTGCTTAGTTTGGAGAGGCGGGGTCGGGGCAGGGGTGGGGACAAGGAAAGGACTCTGACCTAATCCT